GCCGGGGAAAGAAGAGGAGTGAGTGAGTGAGTATGGTTTTAGGCCGCTTTTAGCAATATTCCAGCACTATCACGGCGGGGGACACCAGAAATGGGCTTCACACATTGTACCTATGTCGGGAATCGAACCCGGGTCTTCGAGCGAACGCTTTAACCACTAGGCTACCCGACCGCCCCTGAAAAGAAGAGGAATGACAAATTCCTATATGACTGAATTAGTAACAATGTCTTTTCAAACTTTAAACCTCCATGCATAACAACATTTTGTCTCTATATTCACGCGTACTGCATGTATCGTTATGATGAGACTTAGAGATTTTATGTCACGAATGTACCAATATCCTCATTTACATATCCTCATTTTTACTTGTACATTTCATCAATCAATTTCACATCTAAATCTAAACCATGAACTTGGTTTATATTGGACAAAAGTGATAAGCATCCTACTATCAATAATACATGAGCATAATTGTATTATATATATACACATGTTAACAGCTGTTAAGAAACTGTTAAGTAACCATCAATATGTATAAGAGTAGCAGTGCCAATATAAAACTAAATCATAATTAGACCACGCATAAAAAATCACAAATTCTCTTGAGGATTCCGGGTCAAAATTGGAGGCGACTTAATGGACTGACTTGGTTGATGCATGTCATCATATCCCGATTGCATGGACCGATGCTCATGATGTCAATCATTGGTATTGTCTGGTCCAGACTCGATTATTAAAGGTTTTCGTCCTATAGCTGGAATATTGCTGATTGCGGCGTTAAACAACAGGCAAAAACAGCTTTTATTTTCCATTCTCCGTGTTTCATGCTGGTGAACTCCGATGCCAGTACAGACAACACGCAGCGATATGACGGTACTGAGTGAGTGAGTGGGTTAAGTTTAACGCCGCTTAGAACAATATTCACGGCGTGGCAGCTTAATGTGGAAGGAAAGTGAGTGAGTGAGTATAGTTTTACGCCGCTTTTAGCAATATTCCAGCAGTGTCACGGCGGGGGACACCAGAAATGGGCTTCACACATTGTACCCATGTCGGGAATCGAACCCGGGTCTTCGGTGTGACGAGCGAACGCTTTAACCACTAGGCTAACCGACCGCCTCTGTGGGAGGAAAGAAAGACCGAAGTGTTGCAGGTCCCAGCAACTATGGAACAAGGAGGGTACATTTCCCCCTATCATTGACCAGCAGTAATCACAGTATCATACTTGTTGGTAAGTCTGCAATTAACTGGGTACGACTGACACAATATGTAAACTGAATAGTTTTACACTTACCATATATTTTGATTATCTGCACATACATTTTAACTGAATGACTGATTGGCGTTTCAAATCCCACCCTGACCCGTGAAGACCCGGGGTAGAATAGGTCTTCAGCAACCCATGCTTGCTGTAAAAGGCGACTATGCTTGTCGTAAAAGGCGACTAACGGGATCGGATGGTCAGGCTCGCTGACTTGGTTGATGCATGTCATCGATCCCAATTGCGTGTATCGATGTTCATGATGTAAATCACTGGATTGTCTGGTCCAGACTCGATTATTTACAGACCGCCGTCATATAGCTGGAATATTGCTGAGTGCGGCGTTAAACAGAAAAAAAACCAAAAGAACTCAAATCACACCTTGACTCACCTTCAAATATCTCATATAAACATGGCGGAAATCATAAATGTGCCCGATAATATCCCACAATACGACACTTAACAGATCAGACCATATGTACAGGTCTTCAAGAGTATAAAGAAAGTTTCTCATAACCATTCTACAGTTTTACAAGAATACCCTCTAGGTAATCAGCAAAATAATTATACTACAGTATCACTAATATTGCTCATCAACAGTATAGAGCGAGATCCTTATAATTATTCTACAGTTTCACTATTGCTCATCAACAGTATAGAGCGAGATCCTTATAATTATTCTACTGTTTCACTATTGCTCATCAACAGTATAGAGCGAGATCCTCAAAATTATTCTACTGTTTCACTATTGCTCATCAACAGTATAGAGCGATATCCTTATAATTATTCTACAGTTTCACTATTGCTCATCAACAGTATAGAGCGAGATCCTCAAAATTATTCTACTGTTTCACTATTGCTCATCAACAGTATAGAGCGAGATCCTTATAATTATTCTACAGTTTCACTATTGCTCATCAACAGTATAGAGCGAGATCCTCATAATTATTCTACAGTTTCACTATTGCTCATCAGCAGTATAGAGCGAGATCCTTATAATTATTCTACAGTTTCACTATTGCTCATCAACAGTATAGAGCGAGATCCTCATAATTATTCTACAGTTTCACTATTGCTCATCAACAGTATAGAGCGATATCCTTATAATTATTCTACTGTTTCACTATTGCTCATCAACAGTATAGAGCGAGATCCTCATAATTATTCTACAGTTTCAATATTGCTCATCAACAGTATAGAGCGAGATCCTCATAATTATTCTACAGTTTCACTATTGCTCATCAACAGTATAGAGCGAGATCCTCATAATTATTCTACAGTTTCACTATTGCTCATCAGCAGTATAGAGCGAGATCCTTATAATTATTCTACAGTTTCACTATTGCTCATCAACAGTATAGAGCGAGATCCTCATAATTATTCTACAGTTTCACTATTGCTCATCAACAGTATAGAGCGATATCCTTATAATTATTCTACTGTTTCACTATTGCTCATCAACAGTATAGAGCGAGATCCTCATAATTATTCTACAGTTTCAATATTGCTCATCAACAGTATAGAGCGAGATCCTCATAATTATTCTACAGTTTCACTATTGCTCATCAACAGTATAGAGCGAGATCCTCATAATTATACTACAGTTTCACTATTGCTCATCAACAGTATAGAGCGAGATGCTCATAATTATTCTAGTTTCACTATTGCTCATCAACAGTATAGAGCGAGATCCTCATTATTATTCTACAGTTTCACTATTGCTCATCAACAGTATAGAGCGAGATCCTCATAATTATACTACAGTCTCACTATTGCTCATCAACAGTATAGAGCGAGATGCTCATAATTATTCTAGTTTCACTATTGCTCATCAACAGTATAGAGCGAGATCCTCATAATTATTCTAGTTTCACTATTGCTCATGAACAGTATAGAGCGAGATCCTCATAATTATTCTAGTTTCACTATTGCTCATCAACAGTATAGAGCGAGATTGTCATAATTATACTACAGTTTCACTATTGCTCATCAACAGTATAGAGCGAGATCCTCATAGTTATACTACAGTTTCACTATTGCTCATCAACAGTGTAGAGCGAGATCCTCATAATTATTCTAGTTTCACTATTGCTCATCAACAGTATAGAGCGAGATCCTCATTATTATTCTACAGTTTCACTATTGCTCATCAATAGTATAGAGCGAGATCCTCATAATCATTCTACAGTTTCACTATTGCTCATCAACAGTATTGAGGTTGTTTCTCATAATTATTCTATTCTACAGCTCCAATAGCCCATCAGTAATATATAGAATGTTTTTCATAATTATTCAACAGTCTTACTAGCATGTCAACAGTACTGAAATTGTCACAATTATTCTATAGCTTTACTAGTTCATGATCAAGATAGAGCTTGTTTCTTCTAATTATTCAACAGTTTTACTTGAATATCAATTTGCTCATCGGCAGCATTGAGATTGTTACTCACAATTATTCTAAAGTTTTACTGGACATCGAAGGAGGCTCCAAATATGCTGTAATGATTTATACAATAGGTTTGCACTTTCATTAACAGTAATCATAAAATTGTGGATGTGCAACTGTTGGGTCGGATATGTTTGTTGTCTTGTTTGTTGTTTTACGCCACACTCGGCAATATTCCAAATATATGACAGCAGTCTGTAAATAATTCAATCTGTGCCATTCAATCCTGTGACTGATATCATGAGCATCGATCTATACAATTGGGATACGATGGCATGCATCAACCAAGTCAGCGAGCCTGATCACCCGATCCCGTTAGTCGCCCCTTATGCAGTCATAAGTAGGATACTGCGTGTGCGTGCATGTGTGTGTATGGTTTTATGCCGCTTTGAGCAATATTCCAGCAATATCACGGCGGGGGGACACCAGAAATGGGCTTCACACATTGTACCCATGTCGGGAATCGAACCCGGGTCTTCGGCGTGACGAGCGAACGCTTTAACCACTAGGCTACCCGACCGCCCCAGTTGGAACCTGTGATGCAGAGGCTAATCACAATTGTCTGTTGTGTGACTCATAGATGTCCTTGGTGTGACATACATGTGGCGTTCTTTATCTGTGAACACTCACAGTTGCGAGACAAACACACGCTTGAATGCTATGAGATCATGAATACATGACACTTTTTATATGGCTAGCAACTTCATCAGGTGATGAGGGGGCAAGGAGTAGCTCTGAAACGTCAAACAATGAAATAAAAGAAGTTGCTATCCATAAAAAAGTGTGTGTATTCATGTTCTCACAACATCTAAATGCTTATCAAAGACTTCACTATGACATCATGATACAGGAGATGACATCATGCTTCTGTGAGAGCCGGCCCGGTTGCGGAACCCCCCCATCTAAATCAAGTTTGTTCGATAGATGCTAATATATATAAAGCACACACTCCCACTCATTTTACAATGAAAGTGTGGGTTGTTTGTTTAACACTAACACCGCACTCAGCAATATTCCAGCTATATAACTGGGCCAGACAATCCAGTGACTGATAAAAGCAACGATCAACACTGTCCTGGTTCAACCAGCAGATGGGGACCAATTCTAACTCGGCTCCCAACAGTGTATCATGAAAGTAACATAATTTCATCTTGAAATGAGGCAAGCTAGACTTGCCAAAGTATTCCAGTTGGATTCATTTTTGAATATATGCTCCAGGGTCTGGAAGATGGTCTATGGCCCCTTGATAAATGTGATGATGTGATCTGTTCAGCCAATAAACACGAAACAGTCATATGAAATGTACATATCAAATTTATTCTCGTTGAAGACAATATATTACACATATGGGTGGCGTATTGCGTCATCCCTTATAGGTGATTTAATACTGATGGCAAAGTCACATGACAGTCACATGACCCTGCCAAGGCAACATATCGGTGCTCAAGAGGGGCAGGTGATTGTCACACACAGGAGCGGTCATTGACACCGTCAACAGCGGTCATTGACACCGTCAACAGCGGTCATTGACACCGTCAACAGCAATGTATATGTACATCAAATCAGGAATGAAAAAGAATAGTCTGTTAGTCTGTGGATGTGTTAATTATATACAAAAAGTAACTTAAATCACATTGTATTTAAAGTAAATGCCCTTCCAACATAATATCTTCACTCTCTTGTTTTCTATACCAATCCACATTTTGGGCGAGTGATTTGTAATGTGTAGAGAAAACAAGTGATACATATTTCTGTATACAAACACATTTTGCAAGAACATATGAAACTCAGATTTGGAAATGAAATACATCCTTTTCAGCAAAATTCCTTAAAACTTGTAAAATGAACTTAAGAAATGTGAAAACAAGTGACAAAATTCAGTATACAAGTTTGCAAGAACATATGCAACTTTGAAACAAAAAGTCTTTATTAAAATTCCTTGCAACTTGTTTTGAAATGAACTGAACAACTGAATTTAATAAAACATTAAATTGCCATAACAGAAACTTCACAATTCTTAATGAATAACGTCTATGATTAACTTGTCCCTTCAATCATGTATGCTACATCAGTAAGTTCAACATTGAGGTAGAAGTGGGTTTATCTAAAATGCTAGCAGCAAAATTGCAAATTCTCCGGAGGAAAATAATTTTGTTGAACTACACATATATTTGCCACACAGTGGATGCACGTCTACAAAACCATTTTGCCATTTTGTGTCTTGATTAGTTCCATGAATGGTCAGCAAGTTAGACAGGAAGTCATGATCACATGACTATATATGGAGCCAATCCCTGGTACAAAAGCATGTGGCATACAGACAGATTTCTTGGTTGTGTTTATCTGTTTCTCGTTTACATTCACAGACTCTAGCCCTGATACATTGAAATGATGTGGCAGATTAAAGCTATTGGTGTTTATACAATGAAAATGTACAATGACAATATCTATGGGCTATTATGAACTATTTTACATCCAACCGTCTTGACTTTACCCTGTAACCATGGTAACGCCTATATATATGGAAATCCTCAGTCATCCTTAACACTATCTTCCATACAACTTATACACAGGGCAAGCAATAGATCATGAATGTAAAATTCCCTAGTTTGATAATTAAATTATACTAAACCATATTGACTTTGATATGTTTCGAGTAACTGTATCTTGCAAAACCTTGTACAGGACTGAAAGTTTTTATTATATATCTGAACATTTGTACATACTTTGAACTATGTACACATTTGTACAGCGTTCATTATACACATATTTGGAATCAATTTCACTTTCATGTGCTACAGGTCATGTAACACATTCTACAAATATACATCTAACAGAAAAATCACAACAAATCAGTCTTCATCTAAATAGCACTATAAATTCAATGATGATTGTCACATGACATCACGTCCACAATGTGTGGATATACATTTCTCAGAGGAAAGTCGAAACATCTACCCTGTTTCCGCAAGCCACACACCATTCAGTCAGCCATTCTTACAAGAAACCATTCTGGCACTCTCGCATGTTCTATACAAAGTTATGTGGCTTGAAAATAAATTATACAAACTTATCAATTATCATCCTCATCACAAGGGCTGGTACATCCATTCCCACAGATCCACAATACCCTAAGCACACTGGCTACTTTATCAATCATCACACACTGGAGAATCAGTCTATCAGACTTTTCCACATTAGGGCTGGGCCGAGTCCAAATTTACTACCTGGGTACCCAACCCCCTATTACCCGACCCTACCCGGGTACCTGCTGTAGGTCTTGAGCGATTGGTACAAAGTGTCTGATTGGGAATAGTTTGACTGTAGCCTTGTTTAAATGTATTTAGATACACACATAAAACGACCTGGTCATGCATTCACTGAAGTTGCTTTATCTGTAGTCAAATATATAAAAGTTAGAAGGAATGCGTTCACAGTTGGAAAGAAATGCGAACATTATTGACTAGTGTAACCATGGAGTTCTAGATAATTTTTGTCATTAAACAGTATACCACGTGACTAAGCACAGGTCTGGGTAGTCGTGTGGGTACCCGGGTCCTACTCAGTACCCACCCGACCCGAGTACCTGAGTTACCCGTCCCAGCCCTATTCTACATTCACTGTGACGATATAAATAAACAGCCCTCAAATTGGATAACTGAAATCATGTTGAATATGATTTTTCTCCACTTTTAACAATAAACAAAAACTAGGCTACCCTATTCTCCTTTCATGTAGCAAAGCAGCTTCTGTTTCTCACTACCAACCATTAATACCATCCTGCATTCATACAATCTATGCCTCATTCCAAACGTTTTATTCATACCACAACTTTCTATAGTTTCCAACAGCCATTTTTATGTGTCTAAGTTACTGTGGATCTGTATTGGATGTAGGAGCCCTGGTTTCCATGGTGATTGATTATATATACAAGAGCACTATGTTGTGTCATATGATGAGCTATGTCCAGTCATGTCCACCCACCAAATGCAAGGCCACATTGTAAGGAAAGTCATTGAATGTGTCTGGATGTACTCTCCATGTCCAAATTGCATAGCCAAGATGGCAGCCACAGTGATGGATCAGTCCATGTTTGCATAGATCTTGTACTTAAATCTACTGAGCAAATAATTATATAATTCACTTTGCAACAATTTCTTTTTGAAAAGATTTTTTTTATGTAAAACCATTTGAAAAAATCACGTAACTATTGATTTTAATAGATGGCTCTACCATCTTCACTTGTCAGGGGATTATTATCCGTCACCATGGCAATGAACCATCTTCCATCACTAACACATTCACACATAGCTCGTTGGTTATTTGGATTTTTTATCAGATAAAGCTATATCCCTGGCTTTCAGTGCACCTCCTCTGTACATGCTTAGAGTCACACTGAGCATGCTCCAAGAGTCTGAACACGATTCGGTGTCAACACGCTAATTCTCATTCACAAAGAATTTCCACTCGCGATGTTCATGTGTCACGCTAAGCATGCCCAGTATCCGCACGTTCACAAACGTGACCATTCTGCAGTCTCTGTACAGTAGTTCCAACTGTACGGCACAACGTCTTCCACTGTACACGCCTCAATAATTGTACGGCACAACCTTTTCCACGGTACACACACCTCAATAGCTGTACTGCACATGCTGGTGGCTATGGTTATGTTGGCTGCGTGACACAGATGAAATGTCTGAGTAGAAGTCTATACTTGGTGTGGACTTAGGCAGCTTGTCTCTGCTTGCTTGCAGCATGTTGGCGTTGTAGGGATTTGTGTACATGTCCTTGTCGTGGGTGGGCACAGGCATTCGCTGCACCTTCAGACCACCGCTGGTGGTGTTACAGCGCCGCCGCCGCTGCACCAGGAAGATGACCAGGATGAGAATCACTAGCACAACACAGGAAGGCACTCCAATGATAAGAGGTAGGTTGTTGGTGGAAGAGGACGTCGTGTCGGGCTGGGCTGCGTACGATGACCCTTCACCTAAAAAGAAAGACTAAGTTATAATTCTGGTTCAGATGTCACATTATGATGCCATAGTAAGAAACAAAAAATAATCAAATCAAACAAATTTGAATGTATTCTGTTGGAGAAACGTTTGATTTTCAAGTGTGGAAACATGACTTCGTCATTGTCCTAATATCTAATATCATCTCAGTAAAGTCATCATCTTCCAGAGGCAAGGGTGTTTTTCATTAACTTGCACAATTACAATGAAGAGTAATCAACGTCTTTCAAGGCGACTTCTTGGTAAAGGTAACTTGCACTTGAAATCCAGACATCGTCTCTCGAAACCACAGTCTCCAAAATGCAACTTGAGAGACATTGCACAATTATAATAAGCAATCTGATTATATCATGGTTCAATGTCACTAGAGGGTATTTGTATGAAATATTAGTACAAGTCCTCACCTGGCACAACGGACAGAAAAGCACTGCGGAAGTTATATCCCATGCTGTTTGCTCCGAGACAGATGTACATGCCGGCATCGGCAGCCGTGGCACGGTGGATGACCAGCTTGTTGAGGTACGTCCCGTCGGGGCGGGTCAGGAGGTCCCCTGTCTTCAACACCACAAACTGCTGGCCCTTCACACTGATGGTGCTGTTGCGATTCTCCATGTCCTCCGAGTCCTCGATACGCTTCAGCCACTGTGGACACAGAACAGACAGGTCAGATACAGTACTAAAACCATGGTGACTGGTTCCACATTGGCTTTAAGATACAGCAGTAATGTGGCCAACTGGGATGTAGGTCAGATACAGTACTAAAACAGTGGTGACTGGTTCCAGCAACATCCTGACAGGGGACACCAGAAACGAGCTTCACACATTGTACCAACGTGGGAATCAAACCCAGGTATTATGCATAATGAGCAAACGCTTTAACCACTGGGCTACCCTACCCTGCCACCCCATACTCTACATTAACAGTTTCAGTAATTCACATTAAGCATTATAACAATTGTTCCACTGCTGTCATTGTTTGCCTTGTGAATTAATTTGCAAGTTCCCTGCTAAGGCTTACAAAATTAATTCACTGGAGACTATCCCTAATTCGTTGTTGCACGTAGGTAATTCCCAAAATCCTCCCCCCCTTGATATGTAGGTTATATTCTGTAGCCTCAGACAAAAATTGTAGTGCCACGTTTTCCCAGCTGTGCTACAATACAAACTATTGGGATGAATTACCCCCGATGCAGATGTGTATTGTAAACACATATCAGGCTTGACTTGCTTCCACAAGCTCCTAAATGATGCAAAATATCTCTACTTCCATCAAAAATATCTCAACGGATGTTGCAACAATTTCCAACCATCCCCAGGCACTCAGATGTGTACTTCCGTGTTTTCAGTCAAAACAAGCCTATTTTTTACATCATAATGTCTCTACCGCTCATTAATCTTACATAAAATCTTCCCTTCACACTTTCCTATTTGCTTTCTCTCAAACTATACTGTCACAAGAAATCCAAACAGTCTTGGGTAAATGATGATGTGAGGGATGTTTTCTTTCATGGGTATGCTTTGAGAATTGTCTTCAATAAAGAGATCTTAGCATTTAAATACCAGGCTTTAGTGAACTAGCTGTAATACAAATGTTTATCACTTGACAGGGGTAGTCACCTACAAATTTCGGTCTAGTAATTTATATAACGTAAGAAATATATATATATTAGGAAAAAAAAAGGTCCATTCAGACTCTTGGACCTTGTGGACTAGTGGCCATGTTTAAATCTGTTTGTCATTACACTTATAGAAGAGAGTTATATGCTGCTGTCATATTACAGGTCTTATTTTAGGTTGTGAAAGTGTTTGCTAATCACTGTAAGTCGCCTCTTACAGGATCAGGTGGTCTGGCTCGGTGACTTGGTTGATGCATGTCATTGTATCCCAATTGCATGGATCGATGTCAATCATTGATGGTCTGGTCCAGACCTGATTATTTATGCCAACCAAGATTTTCTGTCTCATGTGAAAGTCATAGCTTTTATGATCCAATAAATGAGATCCCATTATGTACCAGTTGCATCATAAGATTAGTTTTATCATCTAATGTCTGGAAAGACTGTGCAACCGTGCAGGTTAGTGAGCATTTTCCTTACCTGTATGTGTGGGTCAACAACACTGCGAACTCGGCACTGAAAGGATGCTGTTCCCCCATAGACTACCGATGTATTCTTGGGATGTGGAGGGATTAACACAGGCTTGTTCTTCTTCATCATTTTTTCTGTAAAAACATGCACGTTTCATTAAATTATTTTCTTGATATTTGAATTCTTACACTTTGTATCACACCTGCTGCTGACATTTAAATGTCAAACACGGGTCCATTCATATTTGATAGAAGTGAATACAAGTTGTGAATGTCTTGTGCCCCGGCAATAGTTGCCCGATTCCTACTGTGACATTTGGCGCTACCTGATTCCTAGACATTCCATGTCTCCTTAATACCCTGACGGTATGACCTGGATGGTTATTAATAAGACACACAGAAACCTTTCATATTTACGAAACAAACAATAGCTAAAGATAATGAATATTTTTTGTGGTAATTTTTTTTGCAGTGAAGCACAAAATTTCATCAACATATCCACAAAAATATTCATAAATCATAACTATATTTGTTCAGTTATATACAGAACAATATCTAAAGGATGTATAAATATATGATTTATTTATATTGAGATGATAAACATTTTATAAATGATTAAGACAGATATATTTATACAAAGAGGCACAGAAAATCAATAACAAAACTAAATATATTCTTAAAGTATATTTGACTCACCTATCACTTCGATGGAGTATGTATAATTGATAGAACCGAGTCTGTTTGTCACAACACAGGTGTATTTCCCGGTGTCCATTTCCTTCACATCGTGTAGTTTCAGTATCCACATAGGATGGGAATGTTCGTTGTCTACGATTGGTTGGCCACCGTCTTTGTACCACTGGACGTGTGGGCGTGGGTTACCCCTGGCTCTGCACTTTAACCTTGCCGAACTTCCCACTGGACGTAAAAGGACTTTATGCTTCATCTTGTTCTCATCAATAAAGGATGGTGCAGCTGTAACAATAACAATGATATTATTATAATATTAATAGTATTAATAATAATATTAATAATAATAATAATAATAATAATAAAAAATAATAATAAAAAAATAAAAAAAGAGATTCATATGGTAGTAGTAGTAATGATGATGATGATGAGCTAGCTTTATAGCGTTTTATTATTTTTCCTTAAAATATAATGTGTATTTCATAATCAATTTCAATTCAGCCCCCCAAAACTATATCCAAATGCAGCTCGGGAAACTACAAATAATTTGTATCATGCTGTTACTTGAGCATACCTCCTGCTTTCCTTAAATCTTCATCAGGTGACTGCAAGTATTCGTTGTCATTTTCTTTCACAATACCCTTCTCCTCATCTGTAAACAAAAGACATGTCATAAATATCTCATAGCATGGGAGAAATCTTTAACTTTACTACCTACAGCATAATTCTAAAATGATTTATTTTTCATGTGCCACAAATAAACCTTTCATAAACATCTACATTTTCCAACTGTAACCTATAAATTCCTTCTGAAACGGCATCTCCAATAACAGGTTTGCATGTTTGACCTTATCAAAGCAAAACTGAAGCATGCGATCTTGTGTTATTTCAGGGGTGTCAATTGTTTAGCCAACATGGCTGTCCTACACAAAATGGCTACTGGAACACTACTTAGGTGACAACTGTGTCTGACATAGGAAAGGCTTTAAAGGCAGGCCTGTAATCAGTGGTGAGGATAATATTATAGTATCCAAACAGGTCAACATGATATCGGGTTTGGGTGCCGAAATGGAATGTGGGATCATGAGGGTGGCAATTTAACATAGAATTTACCTTTCTGGTTTTATTGTACATTTGATGTATGTAATGTTTAGGCATGAATGAGCAAATGAAAGAGCACATACACATCAGTAAGAATCAGAGTACAGGATACCGCCATTTGTTTTAGTAAATGTATGTAATGAGTTTCAGCTTCTTGTATTCCGACACTAACCACAGAAATACAGAAGAAAACACTATCATCAATCTTCTTCAATGTATTAATAATGGAAATTTACTTGCTGGTGAACATTATTGAAAATCTTAAAGACACCAGCACAGTGAGTCATGGAAATTTAAGACCTAGCCTGAATCGGCCAGCCAATCAATGTACATGAATTGGAGACTTAAATATCAACTACAAATCAAAGAATGCGACCAATCGCTGACCCCATTGCAAAGCTGAAGCTGCTGAGACTGGAGCCGCCACACAACTGAAATGAATTTGGGATTTCACACGCATTTAGCAAGGCGTACGCTTAGTCAGTGATAATTGTATCAAATCGACTACTCGCCACATCCCTATTAGCTCGGACTTTGCAGCCTCACTCTGATCATTCTCAAGTTTGATCAATGATTGCTGTACCAAACTATCTTTACATGCACGCAGTGCATAAACACGTATTTAAGCAAGGAGATGTGTACGACGAGGACGTTGTTGTCTGTATGAAGATAGGATGACACAATTAAGGATAGAATTTGGTTAGGATTTGCATGGTAGATTACTGTAACTGGCTTTCACGATGATGAATCATTCGAATGGAAGATTTGCCTCATTGTGTTGACGTACCAAATTGTCATTGATCAAACTGCCAGAAATTCAGCAGCATGGTTTGATAATCTCGGAGGACCTCTTGTAAATCTGTTTTAAAACTCAGCAAATCAGCAACTTGAGGAATATTTTTCATGCAAACCCATTTATTCGGCCTCACGAAATTAATATTTGCACATATAATACCGTCAAGAATAGTTGTGCATATGAACCAGTAGGGAAGAATATCATTCACATGAATCTATTTGACATTTTCAAACAATGATTTTAAATCTTGGCTATCAGTTTATAACAGTGTTCAATGTTTGTTTCTGTTCTGATAGTCATTCATAATAGTGTGAAGCCCATTTCTGGTGTCCCCCGCCGTGATATTGCTGGAATATTGCTAAAAGCAGCGTAAAACCCCACTCACTCACTCACTCATCATGAAGTCATTGAAATGCTTACAATGAATGAAGTATTGAAATGCTTGCAAAACTTGCATATTCATTTTGTACTTCCAAATTGCTATCAAAACAATGATTAAAATTTCTTAAACTCATCAAACAAACAATTCTTATTCTTATTCTTGACAAATCAATGCAATTTAGAACCAAATTATTCATAATAAATTTGCTCCTTTTCTTAGACGGACATGTTCGCAAAGGTTACAAATATCTGAAGAATTATAATTGCCTAAATAGACCCAAGTGATACGCCTTTACAGCCAGAAATGTATACAATCCTGAATAGAAAACCCCTTACTCTTCTTTTGTGAGGTAGGAAAAAGCAGCTCAAATAATCTTCTCTCAGACACGGCTGTATTATTTCACCATAAATGGATTTCCTTTTTTACTCTGCCCGTCCAAGTCTATCATTTCGGGGTATAACAATCCTCGCTTTGAAGTATCAGTGTTGTGAAAGCTTAGGTGTTATGAGGCTATGTGCGGCATATACGCTTCAGCGATTCAAATGAGTATGGTTATCAAAAGACCCCTGTCTTGGAGATAATACACAATCTCCTAAACTTATGGACTTCTACACTCCTCGAAAACCAGTAACACGGCACCTTCACCAAGGAGAATGAACTTGCCATACAGAATTCTCACTGACGCTTGGGCTATGGTACCCTATACCCTAGTCTGTCTTACAGACCCTGATACAAATATATATCAAATACAGCCCATGCAAGTCTATAATGTTTGGCAAGTCTAGATTACTGCAGTATAGAGAGTCACTGGGCACCCTTTTATTATATTTTTATTAAGACAACCGAACAACTGTTTTTTCTGTACGATATGTTCATTTCAGAGACTAGATGTTAGTCTACCTATACCCGAGACACCACAGAAATATACATCTTTGAGTTGCTGTTGTATTATTATTACTAGCAGTTGCAGCACCTAATGAAATTATTTTAAAAAAGAAATCATATCACAGCCATCTGTTCCTGTCGAGATAAGAATTGTCTTTTTCAAACATTCGGAATGGGTTTAATTTATGAGCTAATATATGGCTATTTGAGCTGAGACTGTATTTTTTAAAATATAAAATTCTGAATGGATCTGATTAATGTAAGGAAATACGTTATTTTCAGTTAATGCTTTTATTCTAGAAAAACGTGAAAAGATTTGGCTCAAAATAATAAGGAAATATATGGCTTATTTTTGTTGTGGTATTCATGGCATTTGAACAAAATTAACCACATTATTATCAAATTTCATCCCATTTATTTATCTCTTTTTCATTTATTTTTTATCAAGCAGGCTAGATACACTGATCATCCAAGGGAATGAATAAAACAACATATAAAATCTTCACAGGTATACTGCAGGGAGAAGCATGAGGAAAACAAATTGCTGGGGTAGTCTTACAGGCAAGAGGATTTCCAGTGCACTAATAGATTGTTATGAGAGGCGAGTTGTGATGGTAATACCAGAACACCATCTGCGGTAAGACATGGTAAACAGGAGAACGAGGGAGTAAAACAAACATTGCCATTGCTTACACTAAAGTTATCTGAAGGTAGTGTTGTTGTAATAGCCTGATAACACACACAAGGTTAAACTACTAATAATTATATCAAACTATCAGCATATTTCAGTGATGGCAAAAACCTTTTGCGAGTGCTTCATATTATTTAAATGTCTGGGATTTTGTGTAGGGGTTAACTTATTTGCGATGAAAAGAATTCTTTAATTGTCACATTTAATGTGAGTTAATTTTTTTATAGAATTTAATTATTCTATTTTAGAAAATGTAGTTTGACAAAGCATTAAATAAATTGGTTACTTGACCTCATCATCAATTGAACAAATGTCACCAACTCCCATCATAGCAAAAACTTGACATATAATGCCGGGGATTGTTTTGTACATGACACTGAACTGATAACAACTCTGTCATCAAGATTTGATGATGACCCATTAGAACAGGAAAATGATAATATATTAATTTAAACTGACTAAGGTCACCAGGAAACAAAACATCAAGGCAGTCACACAAAGAGAACACCACACGAGCTGTAAACACAACTGACGGCCCAAAGGCAAGGGGCAGATAAGGGGTGGCACTTTTCACATTTTTTTTCAGGGATGCAAATCCAATGACTGGCAGAGAACCAAGCCCAACAAGGCACTTTAGGGGATTGTTTTACATCTAGGGGATACATTTCAACAATAACATTTATTCTCCCATTTGAATATCACATCTGTTCACTGATTACTCAATCTCAAACCATAGCTCTCTCATTACAGTTCACTTACTCACTCACTCGAATTCACACCAAATAAAGAACCTTTGTTCATGTGGCGGGACCCGAGCTTTTTTATAAGTTCGTTGGATGATCCTACATCTGTTTGGGTTATTGTGAAAAAAGGTTCCACAATCGACATTTCATTCCAACTTACATTTCAAATCAATAATCATATTTACTTCTGAGAGGATTTATCGCAAGTCCTTTTTCATATATTGCCATTATTAGATCCAGAAATTGTCAACATTGACATATGTTCCAAGGTGATATCAATAGGTTTACAACCATTAAATCTCAATAAAACCCACCAATAATAGCCAGTATCCATGTTAGAAAACCTTTACAAGTATTGAAATTACAATCTGCGCAAGAGGCTCAAGTCAATACAAAACCACGATTCATGTACCCATCTGCTCTCTCAATGACATCTGAATACATTGGACAGAAAATTGCTTTTTCATACAGCCACAGAGGAACACTGTATCTCTATCATTGCAGGAAGACTGGAGAGAACCTATTTACTCCGCAGTCAGTCTCCTTGTTCCTATTGTTGCAGCTCAGAAAGGCATGGACTGGCTTAAATTCATGGGGTACGAAGGGGCAAGTGCACAATACAATTCGCCCATACTTCCACCAGATGTGAAAAGGCAAAGGGAAAAGGCGAGAGAAATTGGGTATTCTGCGAGTCCAAGCCAATCCTGAGTGAGCCAGGCTTCAAAGTTTGTGTCATAAAGTACAGGGAATTACGAACCATAACGCACTGCCTGTTACAGTTATATCCACCAGCCCCAGCCCTACGTACAACAGTGTATCTAGGTTCTGCCATCATGACATTGTGGGAACCCAGGCTCTCATAAATCATACCAACAAGTGCGGCTGATAAAACAGTCACAAGTTGGCTGTTTGATGGAAGAAAAATGTTAATAAGAGTTATGTTGACACCAGCATGAACCAAAATAAGGCTTGAGTCAGTCCCCACTGCTGCAACTGCTGTGTAAATCTGTCAAGATAGGAGGATACACAGATACACCGCTCATTCCGTCAGAGC